AGTTTGAAGAGCATGTGATGTTACAGTTAAAGTTCTAAGTACTTCATCACAAGGGAAATTAGTCAAGCACTCTGAAAGTGTTTTCACTCTTAATGTGGTATACAGGGAGATATTAGAATAAGTTTAATCACTTTATCAGTCATTGTTTGCATCACTTGTTTCTATATCATGTTTTTGTTGTTTTCATATCATGTTTTTGTTGTTTTTATATCATGCCTCTGTTGTTATATCCTTTTGTTACTGTTTATTAACAAATTTATATATTACTTTCATATACATTTTACTAATTTCCTTTCATCTCTCACATTTCTATTATAGAGAAATGTGCCGCATTTCTCTATATGTTAAAATATCTCTGCTAATTAATTCCCCTTTAAAAAAATATATTTTATTGTTTTTTTTACAGAGAGGAAGGGAGAGGGATAGAGAGTTAGAAACATCGATGAGAGAGAAACAGCGATCAGCTGCCTCCTGCACCCCCATCCATGGGGATGTGCCCGCAACCAAGGTACATGCCCTTGACCGGAATCGAACGTGGGACCCTTGAGTCCTCAGGCCGATGCTCTATCCACTGAGCCAAACCAGTTAGGGCAATTAATTCCCTTTTAATGTGCACGAATTTCGTGCACTGGGCTATATATTAGAAGGTAAAGGTACATTTTTTTGAACTGTATTTTGTAATGATAATAAGAGATGTCAAATATTATTCATGTTTTTTATTGCGTTCATTATAAAGTGAGATTTTTAGGACCAAGAGTGAGTAAGTAAAGTATCAAGATACTAAAATGAAGTTTAATTTAGAGTTTGTCTGCTTTCCAGGGAGTGCTGTAAACTCTCGGATATTGAGATGCATGATTCCAGCAACTCTAATATCAGAGGATTCTGTGGTTAAGGCGGTCTCCTGGCTTTGCGTTGGCAAGTGTTGTGGTAGCACCAAGGTAATCTTTTTAATCACTTTGAAAGTAAGTCCTTCAGAACCACTTAAGGCAGTGGTTCTCAACCTTGGCTGCACATTAGAATCACCTGGGAATCTTTTTTAAAATCCTGATTTCTGGGCCTCATCCTCCGGAAATTCTGTTTCTTTGTTGGGGTGGGG